GGTAGGCAAAATTTTACGTATTATTCAATTGTTTTCTTTAACACACTTGCTGATTTGTCATTCTTAATAACTGTTTCCTTAAAATCACGTGGATATAGTGAGGTATTTTTAACCATGCATAGTGATACAATACTAGAAAAATATGTGTTGCCCTAGAAACATCTACCAGCTCCATGGACTATGATTTAAATCTGAGTTGCATTCATCCTAATATAGTAGTAAAAGAGGCAGTGATTTTTTGGTGTGAGAAGGTAGGTTGCGGATGGACCAACTGCCTCCAGTTAGCTGCAAATATATTGAATAAGCAGTCACGGACAGCCTTTAAGGGGTGGCCCTCCAGCTTGGGAGTTGGGCGTAGGGCTAACAACCCTTCACCGTAAAAATATTTTATGTTACGAAAACTACAGCAAATCCTCAGAATAGGAAATCTAGGAGGATCCAATGGGCTGGGCATGTACCACGCATGGGGGCAGGCAAGGGGTGCGTGGAGAATTTTTGTTAGGAATCCTTCTGGAAGACGATCACTGGGCCTACCAAGTAGAAGATGGGGACAATATGAAGATGGATCATAGGGAGGTGGACTGTGAGAATGGTAAATGGATGGAGTTGGCTCAGGATCGTGGCTGGTAGCGGGCTTTGGTGTTGTCGGTATTGGACCTGCGGGTTCTGCTACCACAGAGTTAATTAGACGTAACTTATATGAGACCAGTATTTATGCATTTATTTTCCGCTGTTTACATAATTGGGTAGAATATTTGTGAATGTTGTGTATGAAGTTAGTAATAAAAGTGATATTTCTCTTCAGTTAGTATACTACTGTCAGTTTTATCGTATTCATTATGCCTGTACATGGGCATAGTCATTCTGTATAATGTCTGGCTACGAACTGGACGACCAAGATTCGATCACCGACAGGGGCAAGGGACTGGCTATGTGGCCCACCTGGCCTCCTACCCAGTGTGTACTGGAGGTAAAGCACGGACTGGACGTGACGCTGACCACTCACCCCAATCTAGTGCCGAGGTCAAGAACGAGGAGCTAATTTCCTCTCCTCACAAGCGCCTACATGGCGTATAGTGGGACAGCTTTACTTTTTGCAATAACTGATTCCTTTCGCTGTTATCTTTATTACACTCCAAGATAACCCTTTGTAACTTTCCACGCATGGAATTTTCATAGTTATCGTGGAAATGTTCAAATAAAATATGGCATATTTTTTTAACATAACACAGCACTGGAAAGAGTTAATAAATGACGCACTTTTCCCTAATAAGGAGAGCAGCAGAACGTGTAGTTGAGTCGGCATGTAGTAAACGTTTATGCTTTCCCATACTATGACGAGTCATCGAGCGGAACTTGAACTGTCGGTCAAGACAATATCTTGCTGACCAAGAAACCGGTTGTCAACATTTCAGTTGCAGTTAAATGCTCATATACTTGTCCTTCAAACCTAAGTTTTTGCTTTGCTCTTGATAGGACAACAATGTATCTTAGGTAAAGTCATACATCCCTAACTGAAGTGGCGGCAAAGGCAACAGTCTTGAGTAATTGGATCATCCTTCGAGTCTCAAATAATTTTGCGCGAATAGGTTCCAAAAACGAAAAAGCTATGTAGGCGTTTCGAAACTGTGATGTAGATATGATTTTCTGGATTGATGCCGAGCGTCACAAGGCTAAACGTAGTGACGACAACTACTAAATGCAAAGAAGCCAATTAGAAACCTCGTAACACAGGATAAATTGATTCAAATGCGTAATGTATAGCTGCTGATGATGTTTTTTGAAGCCGCAACGTAAAGTGAAGTAAAGCAGACCCGCTACACGCCATGCACGCGCTTGGGGGGAGAGGAGTTGTAGCTCGTACTCATTCTTGACCTCGGAACTAGGTGGGGGTGAGTGGTCAGCATCACGCCCCGGCCGCGCTTTACCCCCGGGAAAGGACCCTGTACCCATTGGACAGGAGGGTGAGTGGGCCCCAGATTCGGTCTGGACGCAGAGGCTAGAGGAAAAATCCTTTGCCCCTGTTGGGGTTCGAACCCCGATCGCTCAGCTGTAGCTAGTCACTATACTTTCTCAGAAGCCTCAATGCTGTTGGCAAATAAAGAAATAAAAATGCAATAATTGTGGTAAATGTGGTTGGTTTATTAAAGTTCTATACTACAGTACTACACGGTATGAAGAGTTTTAAGATTCGAGGTCAATGATATTTTGGAAGGACCCTCCACCGTACGCTGAAGATAGAGGCAGTACGTTCCTCTGAAAAACTGGCAACCACCGACAAGTCCACAGAGTCATTACGCAAAATATTACAATCGAAGCATGTTGTTTTAATTTCGTTTCTGATGTTCTTAATAATATCAAAATTTTGATGTCATCCACAGTTATGTGCCATATATGTAGTTAGTGCTGGCGAAGACGAAATTCATAAGACCGGGGTCGCAATGTGTCTTATCGCTACAAGGATATTTTACTTCCATCTCATTATTCTTCTCCTTCGCCTTCTGTTGTTTTTATTCAATTATATTCTCTGCCTTCGTCTCCTTTTCCTGCTCCATCACTTGCAGTTGCATGGTCATTATTCCAGCAAGGTAGATAACCCGAGACGTTTACTTGAGCTGTTCTCACATGTATGAGCTTTAAACTTAAGGCAGTGCATTCAACTGCCAGTATACAAGGAACAAAATTGTCAGTGTCGATCTTTTGGATTGCAATGCAGCGTAAACTTATAGAGAGACACCATCGTTTCGGAGGCGCATACTGCCTCCTTCTTCAGAGCTGAATTATCCGAACCGACAGTTAAACCCAATATAACTTTTAACCAGTTCGATCCGATTATTGTAAAGGAAGTTGATGAGTAAAATTAGAATCCATTTATTGGTGAAATGTTTATCAGAAAAGGGCTGGATGCTGAAATGTGAAGTTTAGTTTTCCACCGACAGAAACCAGTCCAGCATAGCAACTTGCTGTGAAATGAGTTCTGAGAAACAGTTGATTTCTCTTCTCGAAAACTGTCTAGTTGTAGGGCAATATCTTGTCTTGCTGTAAAGAGTTTGACAGTCCATACAACGGTGTATTGTGAGATTTATGTAAATAACATAAGTTTGTTTAGAATTATATTCAAGGATTCTAAAGGAAAACGGAATTATTTGTATATAATGTCCTAATTTAAATTGGGGCTGTAAATATATTAACATATTAATCGATATCATTTCAGTAATGGCTAAATAAATTGACTAATGATTTCTCACCGATTTATTATTACCTTCATATGGATACCACTTGCAATTTCACTTGGCGCAAATTTATATATAAAGTGGGAAATGGAAGTCATAAAAAATTAATGAACTTTATAATTTATACTGGCATCAGATATTGAGGAAATGTAATCATGGAGGGTGATTCTGGCAGACAGTTCTAATATAAGATTAAACTATTATAATGTGAAATTTTAATTGACCTTAATTCATTTCAGAACCACTTCAAACCTGCCTTTTTACGTACCATATTATGTATTTTGACTCATTTGTGTGATATGACACACATTATTGAGATTTCAGATTCTTCGTCAGGAAAATCTTCAAAGCAGATTTTAAACAATTTGAACCACCCGTTTCAACATTTTGTAACTCAGCATATGTCCGTGGTGTGCTTTTATGGGTTTTGTCTGATTATCAGAATAATCAGTCATTAATTTCCTGAACGGAGATATTATGTGGATGGAATAGATCGACGTATATATTTATATATATAACCTTTTCCTTCTCTGAACACAGCACGTCCTGTATTTTGTTTCTTTACGGCGGTAGATTCTGAATAAATGTGTAAGTTCTTGCCACAATAAGCGTATTAATACACCTCAAAGAATGGGCGATGACCGAGTTAACATTGGTGGAATTTTGGGTTCGCTATTGTAAAAACTCATTGATCAGAATGAACATGTAGCTGTCATTTGGATAACCATGTAGTAAGATAGCATTAATGTTCAAGATAAATGAAGCTGATTAATGTAAAAGTGAGTTCCTGTCTCCCTTTAAAGAGTAGATTACTAACTTCAGGCTCACGTGCTGTGTTTGAATGTGGCAGCAGAGAAATTTCTAAACTTCCGGGTTAACCTCAAACCCTTCTTTTGCTGTTGTAATCATTATAATTATCTGAAAGTGAGTGTGGACTATTTGTGATGAAAACCGTGAACCCGAATTGATATGAATGGGTGTTTCAGAACATACTTCTAATTCCAAGAGCAACTGTCTTTTCTCGAATCAATAAGCCTATCTCTCAAAATACATTCTTATAGGTAATTAATGAAGTTATTAGTATTTTGGAATCAGTAAATATTAGGCCAGGAATATGAACTGAAATACGGATATAACAAGAGAAATCGATATTTGCTACAAACTCGCCCGGCCCCATTCTGAATCTTTGGATAAATGCACTTTGTGAGCTCCTTTTTCCCATAATGAAAGCTTGTTTTACAAGATTTCTTGGCAGGTGTATTGCAATGTAATTACCTGTGCCCTGTTTATTGCGTTATGACGCTTGTGAAATCAGTGAATTATTTTGCATAAATAAACCTGGTGTTATTTTTCAAAATATCTCTAATTATGTTAGCACAGCAGCAATATTTAAGCTTAAATGTTTCCTATAAAACAGAATAAAGGATATATTTGTCTACATAAATAAACAAGTTAGCAAATGTACGGATATTTATGGTGCGCTCGCCAGGATTTGACTTTCGTAGGATGAAAAACTGGCAAAACACGCTTCATAGTTGGGTAATCATATAAAAGCAACGACGCAGTGGTGATTTACATTTATTGTTTGTTTATTTATTAATTGTTGCGTCATCTTGGAGTATAATCTCCTCACCTCACAAGTTCGAAAGTCCATAAAGTTGGTATTACCGATTGGAAAAATATAAATACAATTTTGGAATGGAATCAAGTGATATAATATCCGTTCCAAATTTTATAAAATGATTTCAGCCGTTCTTCTGTTATTAGATTCGCACAGACGGACATGATAAGCGATAACGTCATCAGTCGTCCTGTAAAATCATGGGTAATGACGTCATGGCGGAGGATCATAACCACATCTCAGAAGTTGAGCATCCGTCACATCTGCTGTTGCCAACACTGAAAAAGCAAAATCAACCCCATCGAAAGATATGTTTAAAAAGAGTATTGAACTTTCTTAATCATGCTTTTGCGTACTGATAAAGTCCACATATTTTAGATGAAATAATAACTGAAAGATGTAGGGGTTTTGACGCATGTAATGGAACCAATTAACTAATAGAACTACGAATAATATGACGGTGACAGTTGTGTTAAAGTTGGTGGCGCTTGACTAGAATTCGGTTTCAGAAATAAACGTCGTGGTTAGTGCGCTCGCCACTGGACCAAAGGTTCTCGGGTTCAAAGCCGTCCAAGGTCGATGGATTCTTAAGGGTGATAAAAATCGGTAGCACAACTTCCTTCGGAGGGGAAGTAAAGCCGGCGGTCCCTTGTCACAGATTTACGAGCATGAGCGACATGTTTCGTAAGCAAAATTCAGCGGCCATTTCTCATCAATGTCTCTCCTGATTCTCTGCTAGATGGCTCTGGCAGAAACCTTAGAATGGAGGATACGAAGACCCAGACGGAGTTGTAGAACCAAGGAAGAAGAAGAAAATATTGATAATAGTCTAAGTTAACAGTACTACTCTGTCCACGAAAATATATTATAAAGCATTCGAAAAAGGAAACAAATTGCCGACGAATTTGACAGTCATTAAGCAGGTTCAAGGAACCTCCTGCAGACACTAATTCAAAGCAGCCCCGAGGATGCTGTCAGGCTCTTCCTCTGCCACACCCACTCCACCAGCCGAGCCGCAAACGAGGTTGAACGGCCAGCAGAAGATTGCGCCCTCCCGCCGCGACGAAACCCGACGACCTGCTTCAAGTGCAGAAACTCAAGACGCAAAAATGAGCGGCAATGCGGCAGAAATTTTGAAAGCACCGCTCTTTCATTTTCAGGAAAGTAATTATCAAATCAAAGAGAACGAGATTTCGGGGCATGTAGCATGCATTGGGAAGATAAACCTATACACAGAGTTGGTCTGAAAATGTGAATTAAAGAGATCACTTGCGAGAACAAGGCATAGATGGGAGGATAATATCAAATAATTTATTTAGTTCTCGTCTACAAAAGACAGTGTCTGTTTAATACCGACATTTTGCTATCCACAGTCATTATACATATAGAATAACTTATGTATATAAACATAACCTAATTTTAATAAGATGGAAATATTAAAATAGTTGTTAGAGAAATTGTTTGGATGGTTTGCAGCGGATCCTTTCGTTTCAGGATAGGAACCACAGGCAGTTTCTTGTAAACATCGTAAGAAACATTAGTGTTTCATAAAAGGCGAGTAATTTTTTGACTACTGAAAGACTTCTTTTCAGGAAGGATACTGTTCCATTGAGTTAATTACGAAAGTAATTAGCTTAGGAAACAATGGGTCGAAAGCTCGTTTGGCACATTTCTGCAACAGATTAGTAAAAACAGTTCTATCGATTGAGGTTAAAACATGATTTACATACAACTGCGCACACGACACACACATACTTCAGCGATCAGTTCTATATCTTGACGTATTCGATCCTCTTCTAACTGAAAGTTCTCGAACTGAGGTGCTTCTCCGTTCTATACTCAGGCTAAGTTAGGTTAGGTTAGCACATGTGAAAGTATATTTAACTTTCCAAAGCCCAGTGGAAACAATATGTACCACCTACTTTTAAAATAAGTATTGGTGAAATGTAGTGATTTCTTTGATATACGAACTGAATTCATATACATTGTTTAAACGAGCTTGGGATATCAAAAGTTTAATATTAAAATTCGAAACTGTTTACGAATACAGCAAGACCCTTCTCAACTTCTATATTTTCTCCACTTACTATTTCTTTTCCTTCTACACTTCTAAACGCCTTACTTTCATTAAACCAACCTTTGTCAGAAGGACGAATGGGTACTGTCTGGGAACCTTCATAGTCTACATATATGTCCGCCCCAGTTAAACGTAGCGTGTATTGCTACTCGTTCGTATCTCTGCTCTTACTATCTCTCATTTGGCTTGACAGAGTTGATCTCGTATTCGTAATAGACAGTGGAGATGTTGCTACAATAATTCTTCCGCACTATGGTATTCAGCAGCAGAATAGGTTTTGGGAATGTGTATAATTCGTATGCTTGTCCCTGTGGCCATCCATGTAACCTTAATATTTCATTCAACTTCTTCCTGGCTTTGGTCTCTCCGTGATCAGTTGTAGACTATAAAATCAAATTCAAATGACCTGGTGTAATCACTGTTGTGGAGGACACCGTGTGAGGTGTGTTGGTGTTTAAATGTTACTCAACTTGCCATTCTATCTGCACAGTATAAAACTGACGGAATATGATACAATTACTAGGAGCACGGTAATGCAGTGAGATTTTCGTCCCAAACCAATTATTGAATGTACATGCTCGATTCGGTAAGCGAATTCGGGTAGGAAGGGTAACTTAAAATTACGCTTAGATTGAGGGCTTTTTAGAACAGGGTGAAATAATTTTTATATAAGAAAGAAGTAACAGAAAGACAAAATTTTATAATGATGAGCTCCGTAATTTGGGATAAGGAATAGAAGAAGAGGACTAGAAATTTCAGACAAAATTTGCATTGTAAAAGTTGATGGTAAGAGGCCATTCGAAAGATCTAGGCGCAAATGGAAACATAATATTAATGTGGATAAGTAAAAATAAGGCATGAAGCTATATAATGGATTCATCTGGATCAGGACAGGTACAAGTTGTGAGATTTTGTAAACACGTTAATTAACTTATGGGTTCCCTAAAAGACGGGATATGTCTTTGGAGCTGAAAGAATATCAACTTTTCACGTAGGATAGTGCTTCGTGGAAATGTATTAAATTTTCTTGCACAAAGCAAACAAATCTTTCTGCATCTAGCTATTTCTCCTGATAGATTTTGTTATTGTAATGATCTATATTCCCCAGTTTTCTTAATCACGCGTATTAGCTATCAGATTTAATATTATTATTATTATTTATGATTTATAAACTATTTATGAAGAAAAACAATATTTTATTTATATATATATATACACACATACGTTTTGCCTGATCTTATGTTTATAAAAGTAACATTCTACTTTACTTCTGTAAAACGGCAAAAAAGCCACGTACATTATTACTGAACCTAATACTATATTCACTTTATCACAAAGGTCTATATAGTGTAGTGTAAAGTATCTTAGGTGTTGTAACGCATACGCCATGTAGATGCTTCGGGGAGGAGCGTATAGCTCCTGCTCATTCTTGACCTCGGCACTAGATGGGGGTGAGTGGTCAGCGTCACGCCCCGGCCACGCTTTGCACCCTGGGAAAGGACCACGGTATCCATTGGACGTGTGGTTGGGTAGACCTCGAAAGCGGTCAGGACACAGAGGCTAGAGAAAAATCTTCTGTTCCTGTTGGGGTTCTAACCGTGATCGGCTATCAGTCACTATACTGAATGAGATACCTGGCTCTGTTGTAGGGCGTATGCAAATTCCGAACGCATGCCACGCGTCTCTAAAGCTCTCCACCTTTAACCTTTGGCAATTCAGCATTTATATTTCATATCTGATACGCTGGTACTCTCTTCATAGCAATTGGTTAGGCGAAAATGCAAAAATAAATAATTTACAAAAACTTAAAATTTACAGTCCAGCCAGCTCAACTTCGTACCCCATTTCCCAGAAAACACTTCAAAGCGCCCATATTTTTTGTCGAGATGTTAAAGTATTATAATGAAATCTTTGATGTATTTTTGCCCCGTTTTCTCTGACTATCTGACTGTATGATCAATACGCAAATATTAAATACTGAATAGAAAGTAGGAAGTTCAAAAAAGCCCATTGTGAGCAGAATTTAATGATGTTTTTGTTCTCAACTGTAGTGTGTGCGTACGTTTCATTAGCAGCAAGCTTCGTGCTGATAGAGATCAATAAAATGTATGTGGTTCGTAGAAGGCAGAATACGGACTTACCTTTATGAATCCTTCATTTCTGTCAGCACATATTGTCAGTTTATCTTCCATGTTATCTTAATTTGTTTTAGGAACTGATACGTACCAAAAAGGAGAAAGTAAGTGGCTATATTCGTATTTCTAGAAGCTCGTAGCATTTATCCTGATTATTTTAATTCTAAATAATATAACCTTATAGAATAGAAATATAGGCTAATAATAGCGTCAGAATTATCGCTTAAATGTTACCTGTATTTGATAAATAACTTAACTATTGAATGTTATCATAAAATCTGATTTATTTTATTGCACACAATGTGAGTTATTTTAATAAAGTTAATGTAACTAATAATTAGAAAGAAATCCAGATATTCCATTTCTATTTCACGGACTTCCATTGCTATAAATCTTGTTTGGTTAATGTCATTTTTATGCAACTATGTTAGTAATTCAAAAGTAATGCAGTTTAGTTCATGGACCATCGTTTTGAACTCTTGCGTAGATGAACATTCAGTTAATTTCTAGTCCAGTTAGATTTTTCATTCCTTGCAATTTTTAATATCTTGAAGACCATTATTGTTATTATTGTTATTATTATTATTATTATTATCTTATTCTGTAATGTCACAACCCAAAACACTGCCACCGGAATTCGAATACATGACCTCAGCAGCTAAGACCTCTTAAGTGTTTTAATAGCGTAGATTATATTTAAAGATTTATCTTAATTCGTGAATGACACGAAGCTAAATCTCTGCAGACATAATAATTTAAAAAATCTTCACATAAATATTATCATCACGTGAGAAGTTCTCGGTTGGTAATTAATAAGTTATGTCTTGCAGACACTACAGCGTATGTGTTAAGGTAACAGATCTTTTCTCGTGGAATTACAGTTTATAATTACACCACTATATAGTGGAATATCTGGCACCATGCAGAGATGTTGCTTACTTCAGCGGTACTGTTGGTTAATTTAAAATAAAATAAAATGCTTCCAGTAGGTGAGCTTGAGTTGCGAACAAGTCACTCGTTCAAGTTACATCCCGCAGAGTCTGAAGTATTGGAGAAACAAAATGATTCACATTAAAACAGCTCATAAAATAGAGAGATTTTTCAGTGTTTAAATAAATACACAGCATTATAGATATACAGTGTCCCATTTAACTTGGAACCCACCTACTAGCATGCGAAGACCGTGGTAAGCGTTGTGACTAACTCATTTCCCGACACTTCGCTCGGTGTCATTTCGACCGGTTAGGGAACCTAACCCAGGCTTCTTTCCGGATGGTGGCCAGGAGCTATATCCCGGGATGTAAAAAAACTTGGCCGTGAAGACAACCGCTCGCCTCTAAAAAGTGTTGAGTTTAAGAATGCGTGGAGCCGAACACTCAATTCTCTCTCGACGTGGTGGTTCGTTCGACACAGTGGCAACATACCTTCTGATGGTGGCTGTCTTCTTGGTTGTTGCGCTATGTACTACAGACTACACTGAGCTCCAACCCAGAAGCAGCCACCTTCATAGTCGCCGCCGTGAAGACCTCAAATCCTACACGGTAGAGGACACTTGGTGGCCTAATAGCGACTATCATACAGTGACACCTGTCACTATTCGAAAATATTCGGTGTCTCGTATATCTAATGTTAATTCTACCACGGTTTCCCCCAGCCAGTTGCCATATTCATCTATCATCATCCACATCACAAGAGACGGTTTGGAAGGCCAACCAAGCGATTTAGTCTCAGCCAGCTCCGTATTATTATCATTTAATTGAAAGGGGTTTATGTTATTTGTCGCGTAGCTTTAAATAACTATTTAATTACTTGAGTAATGTCTTAGTCTACATATTCTATTCTTTTAATCAGACGCTCCATCAATGTCTTTTATGACAGTATTTTATTGTGTAAAATTAACATCCTCTTGGACAGAGGAAATAGTTCAAGAAATATTGGACACGATATAATCCGGTTATGTGGGCTAATTAATTCCTAAATTTTAGTACCTATAAGATGGCATTAGTTAGACGAACTTGTGTAGGGCAACAAGGCTTGTGATGGGTGACTTAACTGGTTCTGTCTGCCTGCTTTCTCAT